GGAAAGAGCACACACTGGTGCTGGGGAATGATGACAGCTTTCTTCTTCTGGACCTTCTCGTATATCACTTTGCTAGAATTATTCTGAAACTTGTCTCTCATCCCCACAGCAACCCTACAGATATGGGGCTGATGGCTCTCCCCAGTGCACTGACAAGGATCCTGCCCTGGGTGTATAGCTGTCTAGTGATATATCCAGGCTTCTGTGATCCGGGCCCTTGCTCTTTCTTCTGAACTCCTGCCTGTTTGCTGGCCACTGCCTCTATTTTCCTGTGTGCTGTGTGGAGTCATCCAGTGAGCTCATACATTAGGGTATTGTTAGAAATATATATTGTCAACAACATGTAATACAGTATAGTAACAATAACTATATATATTGTCAGGCCACAGGCCCATCGATCAGGCAGTTTATTCCTGAACACATCAGCAGTAGATACTGTCACCCTTAAAAATAAAATAGCCTGTTATTTTACCAGGAAAATGAGTGTTCGGGTATAGCAGAGAATTGCAATTGGGGACAAGCAAACTAATTGCTTGTTGGAATTTCAGTCTCTGGCCAACACAAAAAATTTCTTTTTCAAAATTTATTATCCATAAATCTTCTATAACTTTTTATGTCCAATTAGGTTATGTCCTTTTTCCTTATTTTGGAACAGTCGTTTTAGTTCAGGACACAATTACTTTCTTTCCCCCCACCCCTTACCAAAAAAAAAAAAAAAAAAAAAAAAAAAATGCATCTCTATGCCTCATACTTTCTTTTACTGAAATACATATTTTTCACATACCATCATTTTCTTTCATCCTAATTATTTTCTAGTAGTTTTATTTAAAAAACCTCTTTCTGACAATTTCAATTTCATTAGTTTAAATGTTACTTTCTCAATTTCAAAAACTTAACAAGGCTTATCTAAAAAAGAAATGGTGCAAGGCAGTTGTTACAGAATTAATTACAGATTTACTCTTAGACGATAGCATAATTGCCTGTGCATTACATTAAATGAATATAAACTCTTTCTACATAATATAGTTAAAATAATGATTAGACCAGGCAGGGGCAATAGGATTCCCACATTATTGCTGAAGAGGATTGTTCTATATTGAGTAGGCAGAATAAAGATTTGAAAGATGAGACAACTTCTAAACTGATGGCAGAGCTTATGTGGAAAGCCAGCACCAGAATTCCCAGCCTTGAAAGTAATTATATGAAATGGGGGAAGTTCTTTTAAATAAAGATTACTGCCTGGCTACAAATCTGAAAAGATAAGGCAACAGGGTTTGAGCCTCTTACAGAGTGACTGTAGCCTGGCCTTTAGGAGTTAGCACTGTGTATGTACAGAGAGAAAAGGTGGTGGTTCTTGTATTGGCCTTTGCAGCTGGCGGCACAGACACTTTTGCTCATGTTTGCTCAGTTCACTGTGGTGTAAGAGCAGTGACGTTGAAATATGGTGGATCATTTCATAGCAAGAAATAGAGTGTATATTATAGCCCAGCGTATATCTCTACGTATAAAACCATATAAGTAACAAATAAAAGTTTAATAAATTGACATGTATTTCCTGTTTTCAGTATATGCCATGTATTTTGCATCTTATAAAATTCTATTACATAGAAATAATTAAATCTATGTTCTATACATTGCAGATAGAATTAAAGATATATATTGTCCATTTGTCAGTATTGACAAATTTAGATAACATGTATATTTTCTATTTAAGTAAATTCTAATCGTAACTCACCAGAGGTCTGTCATCACAGTTTGAAAAACAAGTTACAGTAAATCTGTCTGTAGTAGGGGAAAATGCTCATGGGAGTTCCATTGCTCATCTTCCAAAAGGGAGGGTGCCCGCTGTTTTGCCTTCTCAGCACTAGTGCTCATAGTTTGTGCACATTAATTTATGCTTATTTTTCTAAAGTGCTTTGATATTTTTTCTTTGGTTCATTTTGCATTCGCAGCTCTTCTTCCAACTTTTAAAACTGTTTATAATCTTTACTTTCCAGTGAAAACTAGAAAGCAGGCAGTTGTGAGCTGTTCATCGTATATTAGCATCCAGTAGTAGATTAGCAAACTTATACATTTCAAAATTTTTGTAAGTATATTTATCCTAATAAACTTTTTTAAAAAATGAAAATTAAAATGCCTAAAGTGGTTAAACTTATGTTTAGCATTTAATGTTTATCTTATTTGGAAATGATTTAGATATTCAATAAATGTCTGTTATAGTTTAACTTAGTATAAACTTTGATTTTATTTGCATTTATTTAAATTACTTATTTTTAACAATTATGCTTTCATTAGACATTAGACAGCTAACCATCATCTTATTTTCCTTGGTGATAAATTTTGTAACCAAGATAATATCAACTTATTTGATTTTCAGTAAACCTAGGTAAAATGAAAATATTATGATAGTAATTCTAAAGACATGGCTATTTTAATTAAACCAACAACCTGGAACTAATGTTAATATTGAATACTTTCCTTGAAATTTATTTGGATTGGTTTCTGTTACATTTCTGAGAGTATACATAATTTGTGTAAATGCTTAATTTTTTAGAGCCTATTAAATAGACCTCTTTACAAAACAATTTTGATAATACCATTTGGAGGTAGAAAAATATCATGTACATACGTAGGCAAACAGACATTTTAAAAAACATTAGCCATGACTCAGGCATAAAAAACTCAAAAGAATAGTTGGATCCAAATTATATTTATGGCAAATAGAGTAAGTTAAGGTTACCTGCTCAGATGGCCATACTTTTATATTAAAGATATATATATATTTTTTATTTGCATGCTGTAAACAGCCTTTTTAGAACTCTTTTTGGAATTATTTTGTCTTTTAGATGCTTCTGCATACCAACCAAAGAATGTATTTCATTGTCTCAGAGAGTTTTGGAATTCTCTCTTTTAAGGGCATCTCTTAATGTGGACTTACTTAAAACAAAGTTTCCTCAGCATTACCATTATAATTCCAAACAGAAAGAGTACTCACCAGGAAGGGCAATGTCCTCATAAAAACGGAAAGGGTGAAACCTTTAAAAAGATCCCAGATAAAGTGGGGGAGCTCAACCAAAGGGAGGAAGTTTGGCATCAGACAGGAAAGAGACGACTCATGGAAGTGGAGAGCACAAAAGACTCAAATGGGTACTTCATACAGTTCCAGGGGCCCATTAGTTCCTCTGGGGCTTGTTTCCTTCAGATCCCACTTTTGACACCACATAATGTCAACCTCAAAAATAAAATAGCTAGTTATTTTACCAGTAAAATGGGTTTATTCAGGAATAGCAGAGAATTGCAATTTGGAACAAGCAAACTATAGCAAGCTACAGGCAAGTCTGAAGAGACAAAGGGAAAGACATCTTTTAAGTTTTAGGAGGGAGCTGGGGAGGATTGTTTTGCACTGAAGTTCATTGAAGGAGAACAAGAGTTTAAGATTGGCAGTTTCTCACTGACTGCAAACGGTGATTAGTTCATTGTTGCTGGGACAGGAAGGGATCTTTTTCTTAAAATCAGGAGATGAAATTTCTATTTGAAAAATGACCTCCCTTGTCAAAATAATTTTTATCTTTATGCTGATTATATAGGCTACAACAAGAGGTATGTGTGTGAGAGTTCCCCATTAGGGCTTCCCAGCACCATTTTAAGGGAGGTTTTCTAGATCACTAGGCTAGAGTCATATTTGGAGATGAAGGAGAGTGTTTGATCTGCATGTGACACTTATTTTCTCATCACTCCATTTTAGAGTCTTGTTTAAGTCCAAGGCAATGTTTCCTCTCTGTGGACTTGTTTCTGGTTGATAGAAGCAGAATAGAGAGAATAGAAAAAACTGAGCAGGTAACTGGAGTCTTGACATTAAAAAGGAAAAGAAGAAAAGGATAGAGAGATTGAGATAAAGAGAACTCAGTCAAGAGAGACTGTGAATTTCTTTAGCAAGACATCTGTGTTATTGTCATCTGAATACCTTTACAAATTTCTTCCCCTTCCTTTGTGTTCCTTCTTACTCTGCTTTATCCTCAGACAAGTCATAACCTGAAACTTAATCTTGATTTGCAGCAAAAGTGATTATCCATCAGACACTTAGTGTCTTAGAAGATATCGTGGAGAATATCTCTGGGGAATCCACCAAGTCCCGACAGATCTGCTACCATTCGCTGCAGGAATCTGTTCAGGTCTCCTTGGCCCTCTTTCCAGCTTTTATTCATCAGTCAGGTAGGAGCTTGCCACAAACCTCACTGGTGGATGGTGCTGACAAGGGCCAGAGTAACTGTTTAGCTCTCTGTAGAGCAAATTGGCAGTGCAGGCCTTGACATTGAAGGCAGAGGGCAGTGAGGTTTATTTGGGGAGTCTGGGGCTGAGGCCCCATGGGGCCTTCATATGGGCCTCACACTATGTCAGGTGGCACCGATTCACTTGAGACCTCTTGCCTCACTTTTATTTTTAAGACTTTGCCTTCTAGTTTGTAACATTTATGGACGGGAGTAATAGGGGCATTATTTAAGAGAGGAAAGAGAACTTTTTTTTTGATAAATGCTACTTATTTACTTACATGTCAAGATGGGTTTTGTTGAGATGGTTCCCCTCTCCCTTCTCTGTCACTGTCACTGATAAAGGCTCTCTAGCTTTCTGGATGTATGTGCCTGGCTCTCATGAGAGCATTTACAGTAGTAGTCTTGTCAGTCTTATGAGAGAAATACTGGGGGCTTCTCAGTCAGCAAAAATTCAGTGATTGACTCTTGTAAGCAGAGTTTGTGTGGTTAGAGCCAAAATACACTGTACAGGATGATTGCTTAGATCTGGAAGTGGGACTGCATTAAATGTAACCAGTATTTTTTGTAATTAATGCATTTAATGGACCAGGGCTGTGCAACCTGAATCCACCTTGATTATCCACTTTTAGCCACTTAACCTCTGACTTAATCCCAACTGCAGGGGTTATTGGTCACACAGAGAAATGGCTAAAGCGCTCAGGTGTTGACCCAATTGAAAAGTTCCCTCATGTGCACATAAAACCCTGAACATTGCTAATACGGGGCAATGAGAGAGGCTTCATTTCCTATAGTGAGCCATCACTGTATCAGAGCTGTTTTCTCAGCATGTCCTTAATCATTTTCCACTTTTCATCGCTGGCTCTGATGGTGTTGGAGGAAATTTCTTCCAGCAGGAAGCCTTAGAGAGACATGATAGTGCAGATTGCAAGAGGAAGTCCATCAAACACGGGATTCTGTTTATCCCTGTGTGCATGCCTCTGATCATTTGCTTTACCCCTTTGTTTAGATGTGACAGATGAGATGCTGAGCTTCTTCCTCACTTTGTTTCGAGGCCTTAGAGTACAGATGGGTGTGCCTTTCACTGAACAGATCATACAGACTTTCCTCAATATGTTTACCAGGTAACCACACACTTGCTGTCCATGGTTTTCAGATTTCAGGTGAGAAGTAGTGGGACCTGGCTGCAAGTGTGGGACTTTTTGCTCCTTTTCTTCAGTTGCCACAGTGTTCGTTTTCATGCTGGTCTCAGAGACGCATATCCTTGGTTATTGTGTAGTTTCTCTTGTCTGCAGAGAACAGTTGGCCGAGAGCATTCTCCATGAAGGCAGCACTGGCTGTCGGGTGGTTGAGAAGTTCCTAAAGATCCTGCAGGTGGTGGTCCAGGAACCTGGCCAGGTGTTCAAGCCCTTCCTCCCTAGCATCATCGCCCTGTGCATGGAGCAGGTGTATCCCATCATCGCTGAGGTATGAGGGGCTGGGGCTGGGGCGGTCCCCTGTGCTGCTTCTCATCTGATTGGGGAGGGAATGAGATATCAAAGAAAATGGATTGTGTTTTAAAGCTAATTTGTTATTTTATTTTTCTTATAAAATAATTTTTTTCCAAGAAAGAATGCCTTTAGCTTGGTACAGTATTTTTATTTTTGTTGAGTTAATGAGAACTAGTCTAGTGTAAGCATGGCAGATTGTCACAAAGTTGGTCGGTAAATAAGACCAGTTTCCCATGGCGAACAGTGAATATATGGTTTTCTACAGCAAACATTATAACAGATGTCCTATTGAGGTCGTTCATGATCTCAAGGATACAAGGCAAGTTCTCGGAAGGATTTAAAGCTTTCTTTGTTATATAGGAAAGCTCTTTGTTCTTCTTAGAAGACAGACAGATGCTCTCATGACAAGATCTAGAATAAGTATAGATTTAACTAAATTTTCTATAATAGTTATGTAAATAAGAGCTAACCTTTTTAACAGCCCAAACTAAGGCTTAAATGAATCCAGTTGTTTTGAATCATTAAACACATTTGGGCCCTGTAAGGATTCTGTCACAGCAGCTCATGCTTTCAGGTCTCAATTTCATCTTAATCAGGTTGAATTAAATATATCTGGGCCTTATAATGTTGAATCTACAGAGACATCTGGAATAATGTGACCTGTCACACACTCTAGTGACTTAGAGATTTTGGGTTAAATTGGAAAATATTGCTGAGCCTGCTTCCCTCTCCTCTCCTGATCCCAGAATCCCCGCTGCCAGTGAAAGAAGAGACAGGCTCAGAGAGCGCTGCGCACTGCCTCCCCCCGGAGGTCCTCTGATGCTTCTTTTTGTGGTTCCTAAGTGCTCTTTATACTCCTTTACTATAAAGGGCAGATCTGCTTTATGGCTTCTTATTTGTCTTCAGCTTTTGAGGTTGCACAAGATCAGCAGGTTAGCTGGATAGCATTGTTTATTCTGGGAAAAGGAGCAACACAAGCAAGATGATGTGACAGATCAGATCAGCTGCTTTCTGAATAGAAATCCATATTCCTAATTGTTCTTCCATTTAGTGGCCTTTTCTTAGCTTGAGAAGCTGAGTGCTTCCATTAGGGAAAAGGGCCTTTGGTACTGACCCAGGCGTTCTGTCTCAGATGTGGCCCTGTCTCCGCTGAGTCCTGGTTTGAACTGCTCACTCAGCGGGGCTTTATAGGACAGGAGTGTGGGTGGGAAGCTCACATTCAGCTTGCTGTTGCCAGGCATCTCTTAGGCCCAGGCTGTGAGTGGCTCCCTTAGCCACAGGAAGGGAAGGTTTGAGCGTCTATGTGTGTCTCCACAGCGCCCCTCCCCTGACGTGAAGGCCGAGCTGTTTGAGCTCCTTTTTCGGACACTCCATCACAACTGGAGGTTCTTCTTCAAGTCTACTGTCCTGGCCAGTGTCCAGAGAGGGATTGCCGAGGAGCAGATGGAGAATGAGCCTCAGTTCAGTGCCATCATGCAGGTAACATGGCAGAGCTGGTGAGGCTGCCCTGCGATCAAAGAGCAGACAGGCTTCCTTTGGGCACAACTTGGGTCTATTTACTGTCTCTGTCCCTTGCTTTACTTCTGTGCCACATAGTCCCACTTCCTCTGAGGTGGCCACTGCAATAAGTACAGTCTCTGAAGCCCTGCAGCGTTGGATCTGAAGCTCAGCTCTACCTCTTAGTACTTCTGAAGTTAATTAGCTTCTTGGAACCTAAGTCTCTTCATCTGTAGAGTTGGGATAATACTGCCTATTTCATGGGCTTGTTGTGCGGTTAAATGAGTAGCATAAAGAGTACCTAGCACAGGTAGATGCTGGAGAAATATCAGTTCCCTTTGCCTTATAGCAGTGTTTTCCCACGTGTAAGGAGACTGCATGAGGATCACCTGGGGCCCTCATTAATTGGAGCTAACTGAATAGAAGTCTCTCAGGATGGGGCCCAGTGATCTGCATCTTTAAAAGATAATTCTGGCTAGTACTATGTTGGAAGAAGCACCACCCTGTGAGGCAGTATTCCCTTTCAGATCTAGTGTGACCGTTATACCGTAGAGAGTGAGCTCTCTGTGGGGCTGACCTCACCTGGCTGTGGAAGACTGGGGTGGCCGCCTCTTGTCAGGATGGCCGGGCTGATTTGTGTCTGCTTTCAGGTGTTCTCCTTGTTTAGCTCTCAGTTGTATAAATTTTGTGTTCCAAGTCCGGGTGAAGTAGGTTTTCTTTTTTCTTTTCTTTTTTTCCCAGTGCATGCTTTTCCTCACGCAGAAGCAAGGGGGAGTCTACCATCCTTCCCTTCAGCGCCCCCCCCCAAAAGCGCACGCACGCACGCACGCACACACGCACACACGCACACGCGCACACGCATGCCTGCGTGCACACACTCCCTCTGGAAAAGCACATGCCCTGCCTCTGGTCTCTGCAGTCACTTTGCTGCGCTCCTACCTCCAGCGCTCCGTGTGGGCTTGAGTTTAGAGTATTAGGTGTGTGTCCCTTCCTGCCTCCCTCTTAGACTCTGTCCTTGCTTTTAAGACTTCTTTGGCAGACTGATTCCTGGTCCCATACTCAGCACTGGTAAAAGCCACTTTGGAAAACAATTTCATAGTTTGGCAGTTTCTGATAAAGTTAAACATGTATTTATTATATGACCTAGCAATTCCACTTCTAAATAATTTAAGGTGCCTGAAAACATGTATTCATATAACCTGTACACAGATGTTTATAGTTATTTTTTTTCATAATAGCCAAAGCTAGAAACATTCCAAACGTCCATCAGCTGGTAAATGGGTAAACCATTTTGCTACATGCATGTAAGGGCCTGCTACTCAATAAAAAGGCATGTATGATTATACAGATGACAGCATTGACTCCCAGATACATCATGGTAGGCGAAAGACGCCAGATCCAAAAGGCTGTATACTACGTATTCCATTATATGGCCTTCTGGAAGGCACAGCTAGAAGGACAGGAAACGAGCAGTGGTTGTCCAGGGGTGGGGGGAGGACTGACTACACAGGGGCCTGAGGGAACTTTCTGAGGAGCTGGTGGTGTCCTGTGTCTTGATGAGGGTGCTTAGATGGTTGGATGTGTTCAGGATTATATAATGGTGAACCTCAAAAGCTTGCATTTTACTCTGTTATATTTCATAAACGTAACTTTAAAAAAATAAATGAATGAAAACCATTGGGCATCATGGAGATTCCCATCACTGCAGCAGGGGTTACAAGACCCTTCTTGAGCTTAGGAGCCCAGGGACAGAATGACAAAGCAGTCGCCAGCTTATTCTAGGGAGGTGTCCTGTACCCCACTGGGCTTGCATTTCAGTGGCTTATCCCACTCTTCCCACTCTATTGGAGCAGGACCCTTTGTGGGTCTTTTTTGGGGGAGAGTTGTTTTTTCCTTTGAACTCATAACTTTTATAGCTCAGGAATTGCAAAGCAGTTTAAAAATTTGCTGTTGCTTAACCCCAAGGCAGAGGCAGTCAGTCGTAAAGGAGCCTCTAAGGGATTGTGGGATGCCAGGGAGAGGGTGGCTCATGGAGTACAAGTGGTTGGCTCCAGGGCAGGATGACGTACTTGACTCCTGCTGTTAGCTTCCTATTTCAAAGATAAGTCCTATGAAGGGGTCTAGAGTTTTATTACAGAAGGTGCAGGATGAGACCAAAAGAAGAAGTGAGGCCCAGTGGGGAGGGCTTAGAAGCATTCCAAAGATCTGACCAGATGGGCCAAAAGACTTGAGGCAGGTGACCCCCTCGCCCCACTGTTGGCATAAGGAGCCACTTGCGGAGTATCAGTTCTTCTGGCACGGTGGGATGTGCAGTAAGGCTTTGTCTGAGGATGTTTAAAAGCTGCTTATAGAATGGTGGTCTTATTTCCTTGGCCAGGCTTTTGGACAGTCCTTTCTTCAGCCTGACATCCACCTATTTAAACAAAATCTCTTCTACTTGGAGACTCTCAACACCAAGCAGAAGCTGTACCACAAGGTAAGTGCCCGTCTCTCAGAAAGATTCCTTCGTCGGAGGTGTCAGAGGCTCGGGCTGAGCCCCACCCTTCTCAGGTCAGTAGCGGGGAGCATGAGGTAGGCTGGGACCTGGACAGGTCCGGAGTGAGCCACAGCCATCTCTTACCCTGGGCTCTTTGTCTGCAGAAGATCTTCCGGACCACCATGCTGTTTCAGTTTGTGAACGTGCTGCTGCAGGTCCTGGTTCACAAGTCCCATGACCTTCTGCAGGAAGAGATCGGCATCGCCATTTACAACATGGCCTCTGTGGACTTTGATGGCTTCTTTGCAGCCTTTCTCCCTGAATTCCTGACCAGCTGTGATGGCGTGGATGCCAACCAGAAAAACGTGCTGGGGCGGAATTTCAAGATGGATCGGGTGAGGAGAGAGAGGCCAGGCTGAAGGGAGGGTGGGCATGGGCTGTCAGGCCTGGCACCTGTTCAGCGAGGAGGGGGCAGGCTGCCTCCGAGTGTGCTTTGTAACCCTGGTGGCTCTGAGGTAGCTAGTGCAGTACCTGGATGACTCAGTGCTATGGCTGGATTGAAGGGTACGGGCTTGCCTCAGTTTAGGCTTCAGCAGCACCTGTGTTCTTCATCTTACCTGCTGAGCCCCAGATTTGGCCTCAGCAGTCCAGCTGCTTTGTCTCGGCTTCTTGGTAGTTACGACCGTTGCGCACACTTCTGACCACTGCCCAGCACTATTTCCTTATGGGTCGTGAGCCAGTATAGCCTGAGCTTACAGATAGGCTGAGAAGGTTGGTGTTTAGGAGCTGCTCTCTGGGTCCTCAGGCTCAGAGACGGGACCCTTGCTCTTCCCAGACCCGGGGAAGGTCTGATGGGCTGTTCCCACCTGTGCAGCACCTTGGGTGGGAGTCGGGGTGGTGACAGTTGTGGATGCACATGGAGCCATCATTGCTGGTGTATCTGGGCCCTTGCCTCCCTCCTCCTTCCTGTCTCAGCTGCTCAGTTTCTGCCGCTTGCTGGCCAGCTTTCCCTGGAACTTTTGCTATGGGAAAAGTAATTTTCATCTCTTCACCACTTCACACTTGATAAAATGGAGTCTCTTTTGCTCACATCCTCTTGGTGTTCCTGGCTTGATTCCTGTGCTTGCAGCCTGTCCACAGTTTCACTTCAGTCTTCAGATTTACACGTTGCTTTTGCTGGAGCAAACTACTTCCTCCTTGCTTGTCTTGGCTGTGACATGTCAGGACTGTTTTTTCTTAGACTCAGTTCCTGTTTTTCTTTGTCTTAGAATCTTTCTTTCCTTGGCAATAACCTTGTTCTCTCTTGAGCTTCTTGAAGTTCACTTCAGCCACTTGGGTATTTTCCCTTCCTTTTCCTAGAGGCCAAATCTTAATATTTAATCATCAGTTTCTACTGATGTCATTACTGATGTCGTTTGATCTCAGTCAATTCTTGATTTTAAGCAGTGGTTTTCAAATCTAGTCATGCATCCAGAGCACCTGAGATGCTTGTTAAAAGTATGGGAACGTATTCATGTGCTCCATCCACCAGGAAATTCAGATTTGGCATTTGGGAGCCACTGATTTAAAAGACATCCTTTGATTTGATTTCTTGAGGATGAAGTAAAGGAATCAGTGCCTTCATTCACTGTGTATTTGAAGCTCGCTGCCTCTCAGGTACCTGGCCAGGTGTTGGGACACCACCAGTCTCTGTCTTCAAGGAGTCTTGATGGGAGAACAAGCAACAGCGCCCTCTGTGGACCACACTGGGCTTTCCAAAGTCCTGTTGTTAACCTTAGTTCTCAAATGAACCCAGGCTCAGGAAAGTCGGCAATTCTAGAACTTGGGAATGGCAGAGCCAGGAAGCAGGAGTCAGAGCTGGGTATCCTGGCTCCAGAGCCTGCACATACTGTCACAAGCAGGGTGGGCCAGGACGCTGTGAGAGGTCGGAGCGGAGGCACTGACCCTCTGGCTAGGGCCTGGAGGGAACAGGTTTCCCAGGTGCCCCTTTGGCAGAGGCGGGCCTCGTGCCGCAGTCTGAGGAGCGGTTAGCCAGCTAGTCGGTGGGGCGGAGGGCTGGGAGCGTCTTCATCTGTTTTCTGAGCCTTGTCCTGTCACCCAGGTTTCAGGAGGGATCGTGTTGGCTCCACTAGCCAGGCAGGGAACTGATCCATGTGTTACTCCGTGTTTGGACCCACAGTTTGGCATTCAGTAATCCCAAACTAAAGATGAGGATGCAGACCTTGACGGTCTCTTAGTATTGCTTGGCGGAGTTTGGGGGGCCCTCTCTGTGTGTAGTCTGTGGCCTTGTAGGCCAGGTGTTGGATGCATGTGAGCACTGGCCAGTGTGTGACTTTTGAGGAGCATGGCCTGCCTGGGCCCTGGGTGGAGGAGTCTGGACGCGGCCCAGCTGGCTGTGTCAAAAGAGAGGTGAGCACTGGCAGCCATGCCAGTGTCCCCGCTTCCTGTCTTGTCATCTCTATGTGATTCACCATTTTCATCCTTCAAATGGTGGTGCTAAGAGGACCTGTCCCACAGCCTTGTGGCGAGGATGGCAGGAGCGAGTGTCTGAGACCCTGGGCCGGAGCGAAGCTGACTGCTGCTCTTCCCGCCACAGGGCCTTTGCTCACGCTCACGCCTGGTGTGCGAAGGAGTGGAAATGGCTAGTTATGTAAAATGTTCACAGGGCTCTGGAGCACACTCTGGGCCGGAGGCGGTGGTGGGTGGGTGGGTGACTTGGGGTGCTGGGTGCGGCCAGGCTGCAGCTGTGTCCCTGCCTTCCAGGACCTGCCCTCGTTCACCCAGAATGTGCACAGGCTGGTCAACGACCTGCGTTACTACAGACTCTGCAATGACAGTCTGCCCCCTGGCACTGTGAAGCTCTAGGCGTGGCCTGCTTACCTCCTAAGGGACACGAACTCCTGCCGCTGCCACCTGCACCACCTCGCCTTCCGCCACAGATGTCTCCCAGACAAGTCTTGGCTGCTCCTTGGATTCTCACACCCTGAGCCATGTTGCCTGCCCTCTGCCCCTCCTCCACTCTATTCTCCTGCCGCCCACCCAGCAGAACTGGCTTCAGGGTGTGTCTTAGCACTGGCTGGAGTGCCCAGGGCGTTGGGCAGGTGAAGGGCCATGTGGCCAGGTACCAAGGAGGCACCGGGAAATCCTCTGCGGTGGTCCATGCAGATCATGCGTATATCAGTCATGAGACAGAAATGCCAAGGACAGCTTATGACAGTGCCACCTTCTCACCATTCCACCTCCCTACCGCTCCCCGGCCTAGCCGGCTCAGGAGAGACAGACATGATGTCGGAACTATTTTGGCACTTCTCTCAAGCCTCCCTCCAGCCCTCCAGTTGCCTTGAAGTCTCTGCTCTCTTTGTTAGAGATTTGCAGACTCATGGTTTTTTTCGTTTTGTTTTTGTTTTTTTTTTTTGGTTTTCTCATCATTCCATTGTGATATTAAGAAACTAAGAAGCTTAATGAAAAAATAAAATGCTTATGTTGTTATATAAATGCTGGTTAGGGAGCTTCTTTCTACTCAGCCTCCTCAGGGCCAGCATCCAGGTGAGGGGACCGTCCTGGTGCGGGGACAGGGAAATGAGGGATGAGGCCCGTGTCTGTGCCCCGGGAGAGCATCAGAGGAGGACCAGCCTGTGTGGGGTCTGCCTGCATCCCACCCTCTTCTAGACAACGTCTTTAAGCTGTGTGAAGACACGGGGTCCCCATTTCTCGTATTTAAAGAGCGAGGGGATCTTGATCTCACAACCTAGTGGTGGAGGTGAGCGTGGAGTCAGGGGCGTGCCCCTCCTCCTCAAACTGTGGGTTTCCACTCTTCCACCTCTCAGAGAGTGGGTCCCTCCCCAAGATGCCCAGCTGGGCGCTGTCCCTCAGTGGACCGAAGGGAGGTGGCTATTTCTTGATGGACTGAGAATAGTGGTTGGAGAGGGGAAGGAGGGTGTAGCTGTGTGAGGGGTGAGGAGTGGGTGAGACTGAGGGCTTATTGGTGTGTCAGGGCAGGGATCTTGCCCAGTCATTGTGGGTGGAAATGACACTTGTCCTCAAAGTTTCTGGATGATCGATCAGCAGCTCCTCCTGTGCTAGCTGTCACAATGATGGCACAGGACTGGGGTAGGTTCTCCACACCCAGCAGGAAGAGGTTTGCTCACTTGAGAGTGTTCCCTGAAGGGGGAGGGTGGTCCTGGGCTTGTTGGTAGAACTGGGGAGGAGGAGAGTTGGGGGCTGATGGCTTCTACTTCTGAGGTCTTTGTAAGAGTCACTTTGGTGTGGTGGTGGTGGGGTTGGGGGTAGGATCCTGGGCTGGGTTTGGAGGGTTGGAGAAAGAGATAGATGCAGCCCCTTGCTTTGCGTCAATCAGCCTCCCAGTTGCAGCTAGTCCCACTTCAGAGTTCAGAGAGGAGAGAATTGAAACTCCAGTTGCTCTTCTGCAGAAAGGAATTAATAGGCAATTATTCTTGAGCTATAAATAGTACCTCACCTGCTTGCTAGAGAAGGCCAGGAGTGTCGTCTATGCCTGAGATTAAGGAAGGGCTTTTTGAATGGCTGGAGATGGAGAGGGTTTTGTCACCAGCGGGCCCTACCCTTGGACAGAACACAAAGCAGGACTTGGGATGGTAGAGAAAAGGCTATGGGAAGTAAGGTGGGCTGGGATGGAAGATTTTGAGCTAAAACTGATAGACATGGCCCAGTTTGTGGGTTGTGGTGAGCTCCCAGTCCTTGGTGGTGTGCAAGCAGAGGCTGGGTAACCTGTAGAAAGGGTCTCCTCTGGGAGGGAGGTCAGACAGATCTCTGATCTGATTCTTCTGTCTGCAGTGCTCCACATAGGGCCTGGCACAGAGCAGGACTTTTAAGAAGCTTGGGTGGAATTAGATGAGTTCTCAGGCCATTGAGAAATCCAGAAATTGTCTTTGCAATCTGAGGAAAGGGCTAGAGAAAGAATGGCAGGGGGTTTTCAACCAGGTGGGCTGCTCTCCTTGCCGCCTTTGACTGTGAGGAGGCTATTCTAGTGCCCATGTCTTGCTTTTCCAATTGGTTTATGTCAGTTACATTTTCCAGAGGATCCAATGAAACGTTTATCTTCACGATTTTCAGCATTTTCCTCTACTGCTTTCCACTGGCCTCATGCAATGGAGGGTTAACTTTTAATAGCCATATTTTTCTCCTGACTATAAAATGTAGAATAATAAGTGAAAAATGCAGAAAATAAATTTGTCTAATCCCACTGCCCATGATTAATATTTTTGAGTTAATTTTTTTACATATTTTTCTATATGTGCAAATACAAATGATTTTTCTTTTTTCTTTTTTTTTTTGTAAAATTGAGCTCTTGTTGTTTTATAGTCTCCTTTTTACTCAACATGTTTTGATCATTTTCTCATGTTAAATATTCTACTCAAACCTGATTTTTAATGGCCGATGGTGTTCCATTGTAAGGATATACCATACTTTGCTTAATTTTTCTTTATTACAAATGGCACTGCAGTGTCTAACTTTTGGTGTTTTTCCGGTGATTTCCATAGGTTCAATTCCTAGAGTTGAAATTGTGGAGTCACATGTTTTTGAGGCTTGTGGTAGCTATTGCTGGGGCCTGGTTTCTAATGTGAAGATGGATCTAAGTTACAGATTTCAGAGTTGCAAAATATCTGAGCTGAAAGGCTCTGTTGAGACCCCTGACAAAATCAGCCCCTGGTTTTGTGGATCTGGAGGACTCTGATGCTCAGGGCCCCTGGCTGGTTAGTGGTGGGGTCTAACCCGGCCTCCTGGACACTTCTGAGCAACATACTATTCCTGAGTGTGACATCTCTACAGGGTGCTGGGACCAGGGAGAGGAAAGGAGCTGATAGTTCTAGTTGGCTCCTTGGGCCTTGACAGGAACTATGATCCATAGCGGTCCATTAATTTAACAAACATTATTTGTTGAATACCTCTATAAAGCCAGGTGCTGGCTGCAAGAAAGAATTTGGAGATTAATAAAAGACACAGCCTGTGCCTGCAAGGAATCCACAGACTCCTGGGGAGACAGGCAAACAAGATGGTTGCAGAGTGGTGTGTGTTAAGTACTGTGATGGGGGTTGGGAGTACGGGAAGTAAATAGGGGGTTGTAGAACTAGGGCAGAGGATCAGGGGAGGCTTCGGAGCAGGTAGCAATCATCAGACAGTGGGCAGGTGGGTGGAGAAAGGGCGAAGACAAGTGTGATGGCATCTTAAGGCTGGCGAGCAGGCGGGAGTTGCCTGAGACATTTTAAGGTTGCTGTGAAACTTTGATGGGCAAATGAGTAGAGTGACTATAATTTTTTCCTCAAACCAGGATGTGTTAAAAAGAGACAGTATCAGCAATAGTTCTGGGACAACAGGGACTTCTGGGACTTCTGGTCTTCCTGGTCCTGGAAGAGAAAGTGCCTGGCTCATCGAGGCTTTTCATGTCACCAAAGATGGGAGATGACGGCCAGCCCCAGCATTTCCTTTCTACTTCAGATGCAGCAGCCTGGCTCCTGGGGAGGAGTCAGCTCTGAACTGGCCCCCAGACAGACACATAGATGATGGGCAATATTTTCTTCTGTGCAGTGAGCTTTTTGGTGAGTGTGATTCGATCACTTTGGGTCGTCTGTGGACCCGCTCTGGGGGAAAGCTGAGATCTTTCCTGACCCTCCCAGACTAAGCTAGCTGTCTTCTTCCAAATCCTCCTCCTCCTCAGCTCTCCTGAACTCCTCTTGACAGTGAGGGGCGTCCTCGTTGCCCCCCGGCACCTGTGTCTGCTCTTGTCATTGGCCCCTGTGGTGTCCCCCACTGAAATGAGAACCTCCTGAAGGCAGGAGATTGGTCTCTGTCCCCAGCACTCAGTGTAGGGCTTGGCTGAAGCAGGTCCCCAAAGATCTTGAGTGTGTGAAGGTTTTCCAGATTTGTTCAAATGGGTTTTTCCTCACAAGAGGAAGCCTGGAGTTAACACTGAGGTGTCTTCTGACTAATTTTTAACATAGCGAAGGCACATCTTTCGTATCTGCTCAGAACGCCTGGCCTTACCTTTTAGGGCTCCTTAGGGAAAATCACTCGAGTAAATGGCTCTTCAGTGAAGGATTTCTTTAGCTCAAGGACTCCCTTTTCCGCTCTTTCCTGTCTGCATTATTGGAATCATCTTTAAAAAGCCATGTTAGTGAGTTGGCTCAGGCCCTGGGAGTTGGTGGGGTGGCGGAGTCATAGCAGACTTGGGTTATGCAGCCTCCCAGGTCTAGGCTGAGAGCCCTTCGTAGTGCCAGCCAGAAGATGACTTGGGCCCCAGGGACTCCGAAGGGCATAGGGAGCACTTAACGGTCAGTCGAGGGTCAGCCCTGGGGTCGAGGGTCAGCCCTGGGGTCGAGGGGTCGGAGGGTAGAAAGTGTTTTAAATGAAACATCCAGAAGCTCCTTAGGCCTGACATAGGTGGGCATTTCGTCAACAGGTATGTTAAAGAAAAAAGGCTTAGCTTTCCCTCCCTCCTCTTTATTGTAGAAATAATACATGTTCCTTGTAGATAAGACAAAAAGAAAATGAAAATCTTGTCATTTAATGACTCTGTAGTGGTCTTCCAGGCCTTTCCTTACATTTATATATGCAGACCCATCCCCACACCACTCAGGGGGAATAAGGTCACATTACCTGTGTGGCAGTGTTCTGCCCCTTGCTCTTTGCACACATACACACCTTTTAGTGGGGCACTGGAGACCCCAGCTGCCTACTGCTGTTTCAGCCTAAGCCACAAGGGGCCAGTGAGGTGGAAGCATCCTCTAAAACATTGTGGGAAGTGATTGAAGTGATCGGGCTCTTGTTTCGGGCCTGTGTTGCTGTCCAGAGCTAGCCTGTGGGGCTGAGGCCAGACTCGAGAAGCCAAGTCAGAGACTGTTGTGGTTCTTGGATCCCTGAGGAAGGCAAATCTCCATTATCCAGATATGGAGCCTGAAGTCCAGAGGCTGCAACCTGCCCCCGCCCGCCTCTCCCCTTCCCACCTCTCCCCTGTGCCACAGGAGTTGATGATCCCTGAGCTCCTGGCAGTTGACGACTTTGCTTTCCAGCCTCTGAAGAGCACTGGAGTAGGAGTGAATCAGACTCAGAAGGAAGGATGTGCGAGGCGTCTCAGCCTTCCCCGTCTCAACCTTCCTGTGCCCGGCCTGCCTGGAGGGAAGGGGGCAGGAGCCCTGAGGAAGCGCTGGGGGCTTTTATTACGTTAATCACCTGTATTGTGGCATTTCCAGAAATGGTTCCTGCATCCCCGCTGTAGGAAGAGAGAAGCATCACTGCCTCCCAGGTGCAGGCCTGCTGGGCCTTCTGCGGGTTCCCACTTCCTTAGGGTTCCCCTGTCTTCAGAGCAAATGCTTACAGATGAGGAGTTTGAGACTCAGAGAGGAAGTGACTTGCCCAGGGCCACATAGCAAGTTGCTAGCAAAGCTGGGGTCCACTTTCAGGTCCGAGTGGCTCTAGAGCCCACATTCTTTCTGCTGTACCTGGGCTCACAGAGTCAGCCT